TCCCGTTTTTCAAGATGTTATTGTATATTATTTATATGCATTCGAAGTGAGTCATTGGGCGGAGTTTTCTCCAGAACCTCTGGGCTACTGAGATATATTCGTATATCTCACCCCGTCTGGGGGGCTTTATTTCAGGAGGTAGCAGTGGCATAGGAGCGGTGGGCAAGAAGCTCGTAGGATGAGTCGTTGGAGGACTCTTTATATTTTAGCAAAAATAGCTACGCTTATGATTTTAATCTCAAACTTCATATTCTGAACCTAGCCATTTTTATAGGATTTTCATATTTTTATATTAATTTTTCGCAACACTTTTTGGGTACGCGTTTTAACACTGACAGTATTAGTTCTGGCATCAAATCTCTTTATTTTGACTTCAGACTTGTTTTACAAGTCCTATATATTATTCTAGGAATGTTCATGCACTTATTATAATTTTTCGGGATACTTTATCGGTACGCATTTATACCGACTAGCGTAACCGGTATCTGTACTTTTCGTCAGAAAAAACGACTTTCAATATTATTACTCACTTACTATAATTATTAGAGCCTCATAATAATTATTAGGGTCAATTATGGAATTATTTCCTAATTTCAGATAATTAATTAATTAACTTCCTTAATTAACGGTGCGGGTTCTTACAATATGCATATCCGTATATGCATATCCCTCGACATATTTCTGGATATACCCTTCCAAAATACTTTTCAATCGCTGTTCATGGAGTTGTTCGGAGCTCCAATGGTTTAGGATAGCTTGGAGGAGCCTTGTGCCAAGCTTTTGAGTAAGTTTCCTTGTATTCCAATGGTTTAATCTTGTGATTGAATTTATGAACCCTAAAGAGGGCTTGGTTGATTGATGTGTTTAGAGATCTCAATTGAAAAATGTTTGTACATGAATGTGTCTTAGAATGATGTGTAGTAGCCATAAATGCAATAAAAATTATTGATGAAAAATGTGAATTTTTAACTTAGAAATTTGTGAGGTTGTGATGACTTTGAGTTTTGAAAATGTGTTAGGATTGGATTGGTGAGTTGTTGTATAATTGTATGTTGATATAATGGTATTGAATGAGGTGTGGAGTGGTTAAAATTGAGTGAAAATCCTTTGGAATTGCCTATGTTGCAATTCGGCCATTTAGGGAAATTTAGGGATTTGATGTTGTTGACATTGCTTCGATGATGTATCATGTGTTGAATGGTAATTAGATGGGTTGTGTGATGGTTGGAAGGTTGGTGAATCAATGAAAAATAATTGATGGTGTTGAGTGTCATAAAGGATCCTAAAGCGAAATATTAGGCAAAACGATGTTTAAATGACGTAAAATAAAAAGTGGCACTTGATATGGCCTTTTGGAAACCTAGTGATGCCTAAGAAAATGAGAAAGAAAATTTTGAAAAATAAATATCAAAATTACACTACCTTGGCCGAACCTACAAGGGTGTAGGGGAGGTTTTTGACATTTTTCGTATTCTGATAGAATTGTCGTGTACTGATGATTCGTACATGGTTGTTATAGGTTGTCGTACGTTGATTTGAACCCCGAACCGTGAGTCGGTGGATTTCCCTTGGACTTGGACCAAGTGGGATTGAGATAAGTGATTAGAATCATGCTTGTATAACTAATAACTTGCATGTATTCGTATGAGTTTTAAGTAATTGGGAATGTCCTCTGTGTAGGCATTTCTGTTGAGTAACGAGCTTGGAAAATATACTGCTTTGAAGCTAAGTGGAGAGGCTTATTAAGGTAACCTCTTGGTACTGGGGCTTGATCCCCTTGTGTGTTCCACCATACCCGTTGAGGGTGATGGTAGGAAATGTATATGAGTAGTGTAGAATAACATGATCATGCATGTAATGTGTATGTTGGTACGTAGGTACCGAGTCTCTGGCCAGTAAACAGTTTTTCCTTCGGGCGTTTCGGACTTCCACTGGATCGGTCTCCGAGAGGGAGTTCCAGTTCACCTAGAGTCGTGGTGTGTGATCCGGATAGGAGCACACTAGGAAGTCTCGGGTGTATGTGGATGGGAGGGGTACCTTGGTTGGATGTTCTTTGAACACGCCTTGGATGAGACTTGTAGGCTTATATGCCGAGCCATTAGGCAGGACGTTGCGTGGTATTGGTAGCTACCATTCCAGCTTCGTCGTATTTTGTATCCCTATATTCCCCTAGTTTCTCTAAATCCCTTGCTATATCCCGTTTTTCAAGATGTTATTGTATATTATTTATATGCATCGAAGTGAGCCATTGAGCGAAGTTTTCTCCAGAACATCTGGGTTAGTGAGATATATTCGTATATCTCACCTCGTCTTGGGGGCTTTATTTCAGGAGGTAGCAGTGGCATACGAGCGGCGAGCAAGAAGCCCGTATGATGAGTCGTTGGTGGACTCTTTATATTTTAGCAAAAATAGTTACGCTTATCATTTTAATCTCAAACTTCATATTCTGAACCTAGCCATTTTTCTAAGATTTTTCATATTTTTATATTAATTTTTCGCAACACTTTTTTGGTACGCGTTTTAACACTGACAGTATTAGTTCTGGCATCAAATCTCATTATTTTGACTTCAAACTTGTTTTACAAGTCCTATATATTATTCTAGGAATTTTGATGCACTTATTATAATTTTTCGGGATACTTTATCTGTATGCATTTTTTTCGACTAGCATAACCGGTATCTGTACTTTTTGTCAGAAAAGCGACTTTCAACATTATTACTCACTTACTATAATTATTAGAGCCTCATAATAATTATTAGGGTCAATTATGGAATTATTTCCTAATTTCACATAATTAATTAATTAACTTCCTTAATTAACGATGCAGGTTCTTACAATATGCATATCCGTATATGCATATCCCTCGACATATTTCTGGATATACCCTTCCAAAATACTTTTCAATCGCTGTTCATGGAGTTGTTTGGAGCTCCAATGGTTTAGGATAGCTTGAAGGAGCCTTGTGCCAAGCTTTTGAGTAAGTTTCCTTGTATTCCTATGGTTTAATCTTGTGATTGAATTTATGAACCCTAAAGAGGGCTTGGTTGATTGATGTGTTTAGAGATCTCAATTGGAAAATGTTTGTACATGAATGTGTCTTAGAATGATGTGTAGTAGCCATAAATGCAATAAAAATTATGGATGAAAAATGTGAATTTTTAACTTAGAAATTTGTGAGGTTGTCATGACTTTGAGTTTTGAAAATGTGTTAGGATTGGATTAGTGAGTTGTTGTATGTTGATATAATGGTATTGATTGAGGTGGGGAGTGGTTAAAATTGAGTGAAGATCCTTTGGAATTGCCTATGTTACAATTCGGCCATTTAGGAAAATTTAGGGATTTGATGTTGTTGACATTGCTTGGATGATGTATCATGTGTTGAATGGTAATTAGATGGGTTGTGTGATGGTTGGAAGATTGGTGAATCAATGAAAAATAATTGATGGTGTTGAGAGTCATAAAGGATCCTAGAGCGAAATATTAAGCAAAACGATGTTTAAATGACGTAAAATAAAAAGTGGCACTTGATATGGCCTTTTGGCAACCTAGTGATGCCTAAGAAAATGAGAAAGAAAATTTAGAAAAATAAATATCAAAATTACACTACGTTGGCCGAACCTACAAGGGTGTGGGGGAGGTTTTTGACATTTTTCGTATTCGGATAGAATTGGAGTGTACTGATGATTCGTACATGGTTGTTGTAGGTTGTCTTACGTTGATTTTAAATGATATAACACTCTTTCCTTATAAGAGAGAGACAGACATAGAAAAAAATTATTTAAATTTTAAATTAAAAAAAACCACTCACTTTCTCTCTCCCTTGATTTCCATCTTTCTATGTCTATCTCTCTCCTAAAATGACATAACTCATGTCATTTAAAATAACAAACACCAACCCAAGATAAAAACAGTACTTTAAAAAAAATTAGATTAATTAAAAAAATTTCTAACCTGTTTCCTTAATTTTTAAAACCCTAGGGGGTGTTTGGTATGCGGGATTCTTCGAGATTCCCGACAAACTGAATTTTTCTAAATTTTTAATTTTTGGATATTATCATAAACTGAATGCAAAAATCATATTTTTAAAAATCGAGATTTTCGGACAAATAAAATTTTTTCCTGTACTAAACCCTCGTTAAGATAAATACACTCCTTCCTACCCGTGTATATTTCTTGAATCTGAAAAAATGTTTGAATTATTTACCCGGGTACATAGGGATGTACCTGGGTAAATAACAAAAGCTAGTCATGAATGGTACATATTTGTATTTGATCATGTGTGATATCTGTATCCTCGTAGTAAGCGTGAATAGTACTACCCAGTAGAAGAGAAGTATTGGCCAGAACACTGGAACATCAAACGCACTAAAGAAAGTCATCACAAATGCAATGCAAAATGCCTTTGTGATAGAGTACCTGCACAAAAAGGAAAATTAAGCACAACTTCAGTAAAAGCAACCGTCTACATGTCAAAACAATTCTAAAGGTGTTCTCATAGCGAACTTATATGGATTGAGCAACGAAGTTCTGAGATTTTGTTATTTACCCGGGTACACCCCTATGTACCTGGGTAAATAATTCAAATATTTTTTCAGATTCAAGAAATATATCCGGGTAGGTAAAAAATTTCAAAATATACCTGGGTAGGTAGGGGTGTATCCGGATAAGCTTCATGGTCAATGGTCAAACATGGGCAGATTGATGTTATATTTTTTTGAAGAAGTTAAATTTTTAAAATAATTTATAAATAAGGTCAATTTGATAATTAATTATTAAAAAAAAACTATAATAATAAAAAAAAAGCCGATAAATATAGCTAAGCATAGTCAAGATTTACATGATCCACTTATTATATCAAATCGAAAGTGCTATCTTGCTTCAATATTCACACGATTCGATTGACAATTTTGTTGATTTTTTATAATCCTTATCAACAATAATTAAAAAACTAAAGAGATAGTTGTATGCTTTCCTTATTTATTATCATCATCAAAACTAGAAACGTGTGAAACTTTTAAAGACCGAGTAAAAAACAAATAAAAATCTGAGCTGGGTTTCATAGATCCTTCTTCAGAAATCAGAATCCTTGCTCGTTAAGGAAGACCCAAACAGGGTACACCTATAATTCCCTCTGTTTTTCTCTTTTCCATTCATTATCTTTGATATACACTCACCCCACCTTTCTCTGTTTTCCTTGCTCATTTGTTTCCCCTAATAATCGAAACTTTTAATTGCCAAACCCTGTTCAATATCGTAAACTCACTGCAATCTTCCATTTTTGGTTTCTGGTTTTTTTTTTTTTTATTCCTGTGGTTTAGGAATTGATTCTGTTCGAAACTCGCACCATGTCGATGCTCGATTCCTTCTTCAGCAAGGGTTTTAAGGCTGCCAAATGGTACTATATGATTATTTTGTTTGATCATTTACATATATAATCTGGGGTTTGATTTCTCATCTTGTAATTGTATGCTTTTTTCTACACTGGAATGAATTTAATTGTAATAGTTTTTTTCCTACCAGAAAATTGTTCTGTACAGTGCATCAATTAGCCTTGATGAACTATTTGAGATGTTTTATCCTGAATTATTGCTTTTCTTTATTTTCTCAATTACTTGGTATTTCTTTTCTCTCTCTTTTTTATGGTTTAATTGTTTAGATATTAATTATGAGGATTCAGTGTTCCAGTTTGATTTAAACAATTATTTTTATTGCAATAGTGCATCTGGACTAGAGTTCTGTATTGGTGTTTCTTTTGTTTTATTTTGTAATTTCTTTCGTGTTTAATTTATCTGTATGTGATTTGATGTTGATCAATGTTTACACTTTCAGTAAAACTCTGCTGAAACTGACAATTCCACGTATAAAGTTGCTAAGAAACAGAAGAGAGATTCTGTTGAAGAATATGAGACGTGAAATTGCCAAGCTACTTGAGACTGGCCAAGAAGCCACTGCGCGTATTAGGGTAAACCCGATTTTCATAGGATGTTTAGTTTTGCATTTTTCCAGTTTCAGAATTTTAAACCTGTGGCTCAGGGCAGAAGGAAAATCCTTTTTGGTATTTTTTCTTTTTGTAGTGCCGTTCTTGATGTGGTTATCCATGCAGGTAGAGCATATTATCAGAGAGGAGAACATGATGGCTGCTCAAGAGATCATTGAACTCTTTTGTGAACTTATCGCTGTTCGCCTTCCAATAATTGAATCTCAAAGGTATATGTTAGAGATGAAACAGAAATCTGGTTGACTAGCTTAGCTTCTTGTTTGAATTTGTATGATTTGCCAATACGATTTACATTCAAGTTAGCCATTTGTAGAACATTCATTGATAAAACTGTAGGAAAATTATTCAATGGAATTCGCAGAACTGTTTCCATGTCCTACAGAACTGACTAACTAGCAACAGGGTAGAATCAATTTGGCTTGTGGACAGGACCCGTAATCCATATTAAACAACATAAAAGCCACTTTGTTTGAGGCAGTGTTTGGTTATAAGCGAAGAAGTGATGATGAATATTTTCATCATATTATTTCAATTGGTCTGAACTCTATTTCAATGCCATTGCACAAAGTCTTCATTCATCTAGCTTGAAAGTTGACTATTGATTTAGTGAGAATTTTTACTAGATTGGTGTTTGCCAATGTGTTCTTGAACATTAATTCATACTGTTAGAATATTAGATATGATATGATTAGATATGATTGGATTCTGTCTTATCCGTAAATATTCTGACTGTATTCTGACTGTATTAGGATTAGGTTTGGGCCTTACACTTAAGCCCATTAGGGTCTCTATATATTGTAACTCCCTGACACAGATCAATACACAATGTATTCTTTTACATTTAACTTGGTACCAGAGCTATTTCGTTCTGGGAACCCTCGCTTCCGCTTAGAAATCTTGTTCTTCGCTTTAAAACCTAAGCCCACTGCTTAGGAGTCATCTTTTCTTTGCCGTGCGTCCTTCCGGCAAGACATCAAGGACTGTAAGTCCTCTCCAGGCATCTTCTGCACGTGTCCACATCCCCAAACAGTCACCGGAGCCACCATCAGCCACCGTCAGCCACTGTTCAGGCTGCCGGAGTACTTTTCCGGCGAGTTTTCAGTCTGGAACGAACGCGAACAGCACCCTCTCCTCCCGGCGACCTGATCTGTGGAAGTCCGGCCACCATCGGAGTTGTCACGCGCTCTCACGAGCCTCCAGTCTTCTCTGCGCGTGGGCTTCATGCGCCACCTTCTGCCGGCGCGTGAGCACTATTCCGGCGGCTTTTTCCGGCCGGTCTTGGACAGAGAAGCTCGTCTTCTCCTCCTTTTTCTGGATCTGTGGTTGGTTCTTTGTGGGTCTGACTTTTTGTGCGCACCTCTTCTTGATTGGTGATCAGGTTCGTTTCTCTTTATTCGGTTTATATCTTTGTGATTTAATACTATGGCAGCAAACCCTCCAATTCATTCGGAGGTCAAGTCTCCATCTCCTCCTGTGAGAAATTCTCCCAATATCATCTCTACCAATATTGGGTCCATTACCTCTTCAAAATTGAAGGGATCTGTTAATTACAAGAACTGGGCCACCTCTGTTCGAGTTTGGTTCTTTGGACAAGGATATGGGAACCATCTCACGACTAAGTCTACTGATGTCCCTAAGGAGGACAAGTCTGATTGGGAAAAGATTGACAACCAGCTTCTGAGTATCCTCTGGCAATCCATTGATCTGATCGTCTTGGATATCTTTTATTCCTTTCAAACTTGCACTGAAGTATGGGAGGAAGCAAAAAACCTCTACACTAATGATGTTCAGCAACTCTATTTCATCATCTCCCAGTTTATGGAATTGAGCAAATCATCAGACATTCAGATGGAGACATATATTGGCAAGAGTCGCTCTTTGATGCAGGCATATTTGGATATGCTGCCTTACCCTACTGATGCTACTGCATATCGGAAACAGGTGGAACGTCTCTTTATGGTTGCCACACTTTCTGGCCTTCCCGAAGAATATGATAATGTCCGTGATACTATCTTGACTAGTGGGGAGCCTGATCTATCCATGACGTATCAGCGTCTTCTGAATTTGAATAAGAAATCTGCTCCTGCATCGCGGGAATATTGGAGGTGGACGTGGTCGTGGTAGAGGCCCAGAAGGCCGTGGCCTAGGAGGCCGTGGCCCAGGAGGCCCAGGAGGTCCAGTCGGACGTGTTCAGCGACCTCGTTGTCATTACTGTCAGCAACTTGGTCATTATGAGGAACGCTACTACACAAAGTATCCTCACATGCGACCTTCTTTTGCTGCTAATATAGCTCAATCGGATACTGCTTCAAATGGTACAGTCTCTCTCTCCTCTGAAGAATATGTAGCATTCCAGGCCCTTCTCAGGAAGTCCTCTCCTCAATCTCAGGCCTCCGCTTCAGAAAATGGTAATCCTGTTGCTTGTGTTTCTCATTCTGCATCACTTGGTCCTTGGATATTTGACTCAGGTGCTACTGATCACCTCTGTGGTAATAAGGAACTCTTTTCTTCCCTTACATATTCTGAAAATTTACCCTCTTTTACTCTTGCTGATGGAACTAAGGCCCCCGTTCATGGGATTGGACAAATCTATCCAACCTCCTCATTGACCTTGACATCTGTCTATTACATTCCTCACATCCCTTATAACTTAATATCTGTTAGTAAATTGATCAATTCTCTTAATTGTATTGTCACATTCTCAAACCAATCTGTTTCTGTGCAGGACCCGGGTACGGGGAAAATGATTGGAGTGGGTCGTGAGTCACGGGGTCTGTTCTACCTTGATGTGCCGAGTCCTTTAGTTGCTTGTTCTCTCACAGAATCTCCACAACTCATCCACAGTCGTCTTGGGCATCCTAGTCTTGCGAAATTGCAGAAGATGGTTCCTCTTTTATCCGGTCTTCAAACTTTAGATTGTCAGTCATGTCAGCAAGGAAAGCACATCCGCTCCTCCTTTGCTAATCGTGTCAATAAGCGAGCTGATGCTCCTTTTTCAATTATTCATTCAGATGTTTGGGGTCCTAGTCGAAGTGTGTCTGTTTTAGGGTTTCGGTATTTTGTTACCTTTATTGATGATTTCTCCCGTTGTACTTGGATTTATTTAATGAAAAACCGTTCTGAGTTGTTTTCTATTTATCAAAGGTTTTCTGCTGGAATTCATACTCAATTTGGTGCTTCTATTTGTATTTTACGTAGTGATAATGCTAAGGAATATGTTTCTGTTGACTTTTCTCATTTCTTAGCCACATAGGGTACTTTACACCAAACCACTTGTCCTCACACTCCACAACAAAATGGAGTAGCTGAACGTAAGAATAGACATCTCATTGAGATTGCCAGGACTCTTCTTATTCACATGCATGTTCCTCTTCACTTCTGGGCTGATGTAGTCCTTGCTTCTTGCTTTCTCATCAACCGCATGCCTTCATCTGTGCTTAATAATGATATTCCTCATAACTTATTGTTTCCGGATGTTCCTTTCTTTCCTCTATCCCCACATGTTTTTGGTTGTACCTGTTTTGTTCATGATCTCACTCCTGGTAAGGATAAGTTAACATCCAAAGCCTTTAAATGCATTTTTCTGGGTTATTCTCGTCTTCAAAAGGGTTATCGCTGTTACTCTCCTGATCTCAAGCGTTACTTAGTTTCCGCTGATATCACCTTTCTTGATCAACAACCCTTTAATTCTATCCCATCTCCATTGTCACAGGTTGATCATGTTCTTCCTGTTCCTTTTCTTGACTTGTCTTTGCCAGATGCAGGTGCTTCTACTCCAGATAAGCAATCACCTATTGCTCCAGTACCTGAGAACCGTCCACTTCTCACTTATCAGCGTCGTAACACAGTACCTCCAGTCGACTCGACCCCTGCTGACTCATTGCCCCCTGCAGTTGATTCTTCCCCTCCGGATCCTTCACCAGAGGCTCTTCCCATTGCTCAAAGAAAAGGTACACGTACTACTCGTAACCCTTATCCTCTTTATACCTTCTTGAGCTATGATCGTCTTTCTCCTCCTCATTTCACCTTTGTTTCTAGTCTTTCTTCTGTTTCTATTCCTAAGACCACAGGTGAAGCACTTTGCCATCCAGGATGGCGCCAAGCGATGCTTGATGAGATGACCGCACTTCATACCAATGGCACTTGGGACCTTGTTTCTGCTCCTCCAGAGAAGTCTATAGTTGGTTGTCGCTGGGTGTTTACTGTGAAAGTTGGACCTGATGGCCATGTTGATCGTCTCAAGGCACGCCTAGTTGCCAAGGGTTTTGCTCAAATATTTGGTCTTGATTATAGCGATACATTCTCTCCAGTCGCTAAGATGGCGTCCGTCCGCCTATTTCTTGCCCTTGCTGCTGTTCGTCACTGGCCACTCTTTCAACTTGACATCAAAAATGCCTTTCTTCATGGTGATTTACAAGAAGAAGTTTACATGGAGCAACCACCTGGTTTTGTTGCTCAGGGGGAGTCTGGGAAGGTATGTCGTCTTCGAAAATCCTTATATGGTCTCAAGCAGTCCCCTCGAGCATGGTTCAGTCGCTTTAGTTCTGCTGTACAGGCGTTTGGCCTAATTCGCAGTAAAGTTGACCATTATGTATTCTATAGGATTACATCTCCTAACAAGTGCATCTATTTGTTAGTCTATGTTGATGACATCATCATCACCGGAAGTGATCAAGACGGAATCCGTCAGTTAAAACAACATTTATTCAGTGCATTTCAAACAAAGGACCTTGGGAAGCTGCGTTACTTCTTGGGAATTGAGGTGACGCAATCTAGACAGGGCATTTCTATCTGTCAAAGGAAGTATGTCTTGGATATCCTAGAAGAGACTGGTATGTTGGGGTGTAAACCAGTTGATACACTCATGGATCCTAATGTTAAGTTATTGCCCAGACAAGGGGAGCCGTTATTTGATCCTGGACGTTATCGAAGGCTGATTGGGAAGCTCAATTATCTTACTGTGACTAGGCCAGATATTTCTTTCGCTGTCAGTACGGCTAGTCAGTTCCTTGATTCCCCTTGTGATTCACATTGGGATGCTGCTGTGAGGATCCTCCGATACATCAAAGGAGCACCAGGAAAAGGTTTGTTGTATTCGGATCAGGGAAATACAGAAATTTGTGGTTACTCAGATGCCGATTGGGCAGGATCACCCTCGGACAGACGCTCTACTTCTGGTTATTGTGTCTTCTTCGGAGGAAACTTAATC